GGCAAGCCACTCCCCTCCGGTCACATGGGCAGCAAGCCACTCCCACAAAGGAGGCCACACCCACAGAGTAGGTTCAAACAATTTTTGAAACCCACCACTGCCCGAATGTTACTACTACTGCAAATACTTCAGGAACTTTCAGTGCCTTACCTTCTAAATAGAGTGATGCATTTTTACTCATGGCTTTACCCAGATGATTCCTGGCCAGGCAATGGTATATACCCTCATCTGATTTTCCCTTCTCCTGGCTGAGTCGGAGGAAGAAGAGGGACCCATCTGGCAGGAGGGTAGGCTGGGAAGTAGCATCATCTTTGCTGGGTTTCACATACTTTCCGTTGCGATACCATTCAATGGTGGGAGCTGGATTTCCATCAGCACGACAGTTCAGGGTGGCTGGTTGGTCCTTCCGTACCACAAGGTTGGAGGGATGATCAAGAATCTGTGGGGCAAATTCCACAGAGCGAGACCTTGAACCTGGAAGAAGGAGAAAGGAGAGGGGAAGCAGAAACATATCAATCATTTTTCCCCCAGCCAATCTCTTCCCTTCTTCTTGCTGTACTTATTGCTGTTGATAATAGTAGTGTCATCTCCTCTGTCAAATTCTTAGAATTCCATTGTGATGGCAGTCTCTATTCCTCTGTTAGTGTCGATGGGAAGAGGTGGGGTGCATTTTTGTTCCTTACTAACCTTCAGTCCTTCCTCCTTTATTATAGTGATAAGATTATGGTGGTGAACAAATAACATATTAAGGTTATTAAGCAAAAGCTTTACCTCTGAACAGTTGCTGCTGAGAGGTAAGAGCTTTTAACTAGAGATTTGATACTGGAAGGGAATGACGGAGATAGGACCTCTAGAAAGAATTTAAGGGCCCATGTATCTCCATAACTTATGAATTACGGCATAGCCAGACTGCTGCCTATCTAACTTGATTCCCAGGGTTATTATGAAGTTAGATGTTAGTTAGATACAGGCTGAACTTGAGGGAGGGGTCAAGCACATCATCAGTCTCGAGTCTCTTTGTGCTCACAAGAGATCTAAGTCCAGCTCATTGTTGATTCTTATCTATCACCAATTTGCTTTGACCATTAGTAGTTCAGGCTCTTGTAGAGAGCTTTAGAATACAATAAACTTGTATTCTTCTGAAGCTCTCTGGCTCCTGATTTCTTACGCTTGACATTAAACGTTAGAAGATCATGGATGCGCCCTTGAATAAGATGGAGAAAAGTGGAGTACACTTACAAGAAAGTTAAAGATGAACCACGCGGACAAGAGCCTTCTCGGTGGCAGCTCCGACCCTTTGGAACGATCTCCCCGTGGAGATTCGTACCCTCACC